CCTCGTTGTCGCAACTTGGTCTTGTTGTCAGGGGGACTTAGTAGAACGCACCTAGTCCGAAGTCGTCTACTATAGTAGTTGTCATGATAACAAGACCAAGTTGCGTCAACGAGGTCAACCCACTTCTACTAATTTTATCGTCTGCTAATCCCATTAGATATTACTAACATTTTTCCTCCAAGGTAGCATAAAGTGATGAAGGTCTGATAATTGAATTTTCCCGAAATCCTATGATTAGGTTTGATGATGAAATTTAATTAATTTTAACCTTGCCTCCCTGAGGGTAATTTCATCCAAGCTGGGCTAAAGGTTTAACCTCGCTTGTCAACAACACTGTCACGGTTACTAGTGGTTTACAGGACAGACATAACTCTCCATGCAAGCTAGGACTTTCCTCTATCACAATTACAGGGGAAGTGTCGACTAGGCAAAACATTTTGCGTTAGAATCAACGATATTTCGTATAGTTATAGAGAGAAACTGAATAGGGTAAAATACTGTATCGAATACTACTCCACATAAAAATAAGTAGCATCGTTGATTGTAATGCAAATACAAGTTTACATCTTCGACACTTCCATTGTAACTGTGATGTGGTACAGGCTTAGCTTGTCTTGAAAGTAACGTCTATCCACTTTAAAGATAGTAAAGTTGACGCGCTTTCGTTTTTTTATCTTCCTACTCGCTAGCCTGGCTCGCCTATTTATTTTGCGCTATCCTTTACATACTCTGGAAGGTCGCTTTCGTCTTCTGGCCATTGTTTAATTAGAGTTATAGTCAACATGGGTAGCATAAAGTGATGAAGGTCTGATAGTTGAATTTTCCATCAATGATATGAGTAGGCCTCAAATGTTTACTGAATTTCGCATTACCTTTCCTGGGATGGTTAATTTTGGAATATTACCATAATGCCGCAGTCGAAATTGCCAATGAATTATAAAGCAGACGTGAATTTTAAGCAAGACTAAGTCTCTCTCTTTAAGCAAGTTGGGCTGTGCAAAACTAAACGAGTGGATTGACCTCGTTTTCGCAAATTGGTCGTGTTGTCAAGGCTCCTTAATTTAAAGCATCATTTCCAAATTCCTCTGCTACAACAATTATCATAATTCCCAGCGTCTCACCGTCGACTAAGTACATTAAAAGACGTTTCGCCAGCACCGTGGACGGCATCATCAGTGAATCTTGTCATTCCCAGCACCAAACTACAACTCGTCAAAAAGACAAGTAAAGTCGATCTCTTGACCAAACTTTCTGCAGAAAACGGTTGTGCTATCACTCCTCTTTCTGTCCTGGTCAATCTGTCATCTCGTTAGTCTCCTATCACACTCCAGCCATATCCCAGATTCTGACGTTTACATTCCACTCCTCTAAAGATGTGCCCTTTTTTTGCAAGTTTAATGTGACGTCATCACACCTGCCGTTCACCTTGCCCAACTCTCTTTCGATAGACTATTCCGACTCAGGCCTGCTATCCGGATTTCCAGCATGGCCCCTTAGATCTGTTACTTATCTTTCTGGTTGACCGATTTCACTCGGTTCCAATCCCAGTGTACGTTTTACTCCAAGCCTTATTTATCAAGCCTCCAGTAGCACTTACAATGCCGCCTCACCGAGCAGAGCGCCTAGGCTCTGATTCCCATGTTTGAATACATTAGGCATTGCCTTCGCGGTCCATGTAGTTGATTAAATTATGTGAAATTAATTTTCCGTTTAAAGTAGGTTCTCGATACTACCAGTAAATCATATATATTAACTGTTTGCCCAATTTCGTTTATGGTGATGCAGAACAGGTAATTGAATTTTTTCATAATGCTTGGAGTAGACATGACGTTTTTATTGAATTCACATAACCTTGCTTTCCCAAAAGGCATTCTTATACAGGGTGGATTACAGTTTCGACCACGCCTAGGCCTTATCAACACCCTTAATGGGGCTCAATAAGTCTGATTTACTAGTAGTTTTGAAAACCTACTCGAATCGAAGAGTTAGTAATGTCGTCAATTGCTATAGCAAATATAAATTTGCCTAACCGACAATTCCGCCACACAATGTTATATTGGAAAATTTCTGGCCTTCTTTGAAATTCATATCTGCTCTGTAATCCGAGGGCACTCATAGGATTGTGGCGCAGTGGCTAACTTTCGAAATTATACTGTCATTGTTCGAGTCCCGCTAGTGGTGTTTATAAAACCTAGGTAAGGCCGAATCTGTAGTCCACCCTGGATGAAAATAGCTTTTGGGATGCAAAACCTGGGGAAATTCATTGGAATCTTGAGGTATACTCATAGCATTGTATGAAAATTCAACTATATATCATTCATCATTTCAAATGAGTTAGGTAGCAAATAACTCATATTCAAGGTCTACTGAAAGTTAAAAAACCTTACTTTAGATGAATATTCGTTGAATAAAAGTGGACTCCATAGAATGCCTTAGAATCTTTCATTTGTACCGCTCTCACGTTGTCACCGCAGACATTATGGATCTTAAGTCGAGGAACAATAATTCTGATATTTTTGATAGACCAGCCTCTACTCATGATAGATACGAAAAGAAACTGGGTTTCGGCAAATCTCATGAGATAACATTGTTTGGGGGACTTTCATTTCGTATGAAAGTGCATGAAATCATTAGCTTATGAAATACGTTGAATGTGAGGAATGGTGGTAGTAAGTTGAGTAAGAACTACATATGCCTGATTAATAGATTGAAAGAGAGAGAGGGTGTTGAGCCGCCATCGGAAAGAAAGCGACTCAATTTGTCTGCTCGATGATGGTTCTCACTTCACTCACATTCGTCCGACATGTTAGAGTAAGCTCATCAACCAAACCAGACATGTCAGATTACGCAGTCCCAGTCTTCCTTTCCTTGTGGAGTTAAACGTTAATGACCCTAGACTGAAAGGTTAGGACAAGTGGTTTCGTAACTTGACTTAAATGCTTACAAGATCATATCTCATTATCTCAACCATACTTGCTAATGGACTTACGCAGTCTCGATCAAGGCTTTCTCTTGGGTCATTAGGCCTTGATGACCAGACCATTAGCCTTTTTTAATCACTATGATTTAGGACCGGTATTGCGTATAGACGATAATACACACACATACACACACGCACAAACTCAAGCAAAAGTAGCAGGACCTATATGAAAGATAATCAGCCAAACCACTCTATCTCTATCTATCTAGGTTTTTAATTCTTTTGGCTTAATTAAGTTTACATAAGAGGTAAGATAGAGTCGGATAGTCTTATTGCCTTGGTGTTAACTTAAGACTATTGCAGAAATGATGATGTCCATTTTATGCTGGACAAGGGCTCAGCCCCTTTTTTCCCCGTAAGTAAGGAGGAGGTCTCGTAGACTGTGTCAACCTGAACGTCGTATAAAAGCCAAACGGCTGCAATACAACTCGATTCGTCCGTCCTCTTCTGGTGAGATCGACCTACGAAGCTCTTCTTCATGCACTTTCCTACGAAATGAAAGTCCCCACAACAGTTCTTTTCATGAGTCAAAGTTATTTCATTCAAAGTCTGTCCTGCCTCTTTCTTTGACACAACCTTCTTTTCTCTTTCACAGCATGATCCACGCTGTTTTTTCACCCAAAGTGACATTTGCCGCCTGCCTATTAAGAGCCCTCTTCGAGAATGGGTGCTGTCCACGGATATTCGCCCCTCCAGGCGAGACATTACACGCTCTATTAATAATGGTACAATCGGAGGTGAAAGCGGCCATACGACCAGCTCCGCCAGAACCGGCCATGCCAGGCTTGGGGTGAGAAAGTGGGAGAAGGAAGCCATGAAATCCTGTGGCGAAGGTCCGCCGCCGGCCGAATCACAGAATTCCCTCCCAAAGGCGGCACTGAAGCGGAGGTCACCGACCGCCGTCGGCTCCTCGACCTCTTGCCCTCGGTCGCCCTCGTGTGTGGACGGCTGCTCAACGTCCATGGGCACGAGTCTGGTTACCGCCGGCCGGCTGGCCAAAGCGCCGGAACTCACGGGCGAAATGGCGATCCGAGGCCCTGGCCAGATCGGCAGTGTTGAGGCCTCGAACGGACTCGAGGCTGGGCCGGCGATGACGAGTCGGCGCGCCGAGTGGCACCAACGCCGCACGTCGATCGGCACGATGGTGGTTTCCAATATCGGGCCACAACGACGCCAAGCCCAGACTCGTGAGCTCGAGTCGGCCGAGGTACAGACGACCGTCAGGCCGTCATGTCGCCCCGGGAGGCAGCATTCACTCGCGGCCTTTGACACGGTAGCGCGTTCCGGTGAAGCCTGCCGACGACGGGAATCGACGTCGCGAGGCCTCCCGGCTCTGCAGAAAGCCCGGATGGAATCGAGGAAGGCGTTTGCCTCACCGCTGAACCGAGGACCCAGAGCCTGCGAGCGAGGCCACAAGTCTCCTCTGCCAGCTCTGCCAGAACCGATTTCCGTGGCTTGGTTGTACCCTTGCCAGGGGCCCCAGACAGCCGCCTCGAGAAAACAGGCCAAGCGAAGAGCATTTCGGCCCGGAAGCTGCCCTTCTCTGTGGCATGCTGTCGTCATGGACGACGAGGAGACAGACGACGAGGATAGGATGGGGGCGAAAACTGGGACGAGGAAGAACAACAGTTCGCTGGAGAGCACTCACAGGCAACTTTTCGGTGGACAGAGGCGTAGAAACGGGGAGAATGTGAACATCTGTCGGGATGCTGGCTACAGCGACAACTCGGATGATGTGAGCCCCAAAAGCTCAAAGGCTTCCGGTGGAAGTCCCTCCTCCTACCAATTGATCAGTGGTGACGAATTCGCGATCTCGTCAGAGCCGTCGATCGGGTCGGCCTCAGAAAGCGCATCGCCTAGCATGATCTCGAAAATGAGACAATCGACACAATGCGGATCTGATCAAATGTGCATCGACTACGAATACACTTCGCCGAATGCAGAAGAGGTCAGTTGGAGGAGACTTCTTCCATTCTAAACTATATTCTCTCTCTTGTTCTTCAACATGTCCAAATCTGAGGCAATCGGGCCGGAAGAGAGGCCTACAAAGTAAGCGCCTAGTTTTCCATCACTCAAATGCAGCATCACTAATGCTGAATAGATAGGATCCCTGTATCACTATCAATCTGAGACAATTTTGAGGTTTTGCATATCCTATTTACAATAAGCAGATACGAAAGTCCACTTGATTCACAGAAACGATACATTCCACTTGGTCATTCCTCCCCAAAACTTTGCGCATTCATGCTGGAGTAAAGTTATCACCAGCATGCCCTCTGGTGTTCAAAACCAGGTCGCGCACTCAAAGTGACTTACCATTGATAGCAATTATACTCGAATAAACATTTCTAATTAAATTGAATTTAGTATAGATTCGTGAATTGGCCGCACCAGAAACCGAATGAGGATTGCTTTGTTGCATAGTTTAGGCTATAAGAGCGGTTATTTCATAACTTAATGATTTCCTGACATCATGATCTCTGTGACATGGCAGGTGAAAGTTCAGTACAGATAAATGGAAATCTCGGTGTGGTGAGCCAAGACTTCTTCGCAGAGTTCAACGTCCCGCAGTTGAAGGCAATCCTCCTTTATAGAAGTGCGTTGACCTCGTTGTCGCAACTTGGTCTTGTTGTCAGGGCGACTTGGTAGAACGCACCTAGTCCGAAGTCGTCTGCCATAGTAGTTGTCATGATTGCCAGCTTCAGACAGTGGAGTTGGTACATTCTCAAACGTTTCATCGGCATCGTAGTCGGAATCATCAGTGAGCTTTGCCACTCTCCGCACCAAGCTGCGACCATACCGGAGGCCACAACATCTTGGTCTTCATATCTTTAATCGTCCTTCAGTTTCCGATGAAGCAAACCTACCAAATTTTTCTTCGAAGTGAAAGTTTAGTCAGCCTAAATCATTAAGAGATTATTCTAACTCCAGCTCTTTTTCATATATACGTTACTAGTAAGTCAGGACAAGGGTACCAGAGTAGCAAACCAGGCATCTCGTAAAAACATGTATTGTGTTTTCGTTTTCTAAGGAGTTTTTCGAGACTTTCGGTAGATCTTTGTTAAGAATAGTTTTCCTCCTATTTCACTGTAGGTGATGAAGAACTGGTGGTTAGATTTTTCCACAATGATCTGAATATGCCTCACGTTTCCTCAACATGGGCCTAGTCATACGTCTTCTACCATAGTATTCATAATATCTTTCAACATCGGACCGGTGACTTGAAAATGTACTACAATGTTTTTTATCGCTCAGAGCAAGCTGAATAAGCGGGATCAAACCAACACCATAGAGCTAAATGAGACTTAGCATGATGCTCCCTACCCGCAGCATTGTGAAAAAATTCCAATATCAGTCTTTAAATCACCCTAAGCAGCCGAGGGTAATGAGGTTCTTATTCAAAAATTACTAATATTCTTGATATAAATCATGCTTAGACTTCAACGAGAGAATGCAAGATAGAGACTAATTGAGTCAAATGGTACGTTAACTATCCATTCGTATCGGCTTAGAATATTTTTTCAAAGGGAAACAATGATGCAGAAAGACTAAGTGTTAGGGTACTTATTTTTAATGTGCTGAGAATAGGATGAGTGAAGGGGAAATTATCAAATATTGGACCTGGTATTGGGTAACAGTATAGTGACGAAGGATGGAAATAAACAATGATTTTTGTAATTTTGTTGAAATGGTATGACTGGATCTTACTCTCTAGAATTAGGATGTAAACTCGCTTTCAACTGGTGGTTTTTTGCCCATAAGGATGAGCAAAAATTCAATCACAGATGGGCACAAATGTAAACTATAACGTCATTTGATATTTTCTATGAGAGTATGTTTCCAAATGATCAGCCAATCCAACAGAGATACAGGTTGTACTTTTGTATGTCATATGACAAAACTATTCATAGCCTGATAGCTTTTAGTGCCAAAGTGGACCCAGCTAATCACGACTTAAGTTCTACATGACCTATAATATTAACTTAAACATGTGTATCAAGGATTAATGAGTAAGGGCTTACTCGAAGGTATGAAGACCAAGATGCTATAGCCTTTTGTATGGTAGCGGCCTCCTTTCATTGTAAAGAAGCTGTTTTACCTTGTTTTCGCAACTTTATCATATTGGCTGGAAGACCTAGAGGAACGCACCTTGTCTGAAGTTCATAGTATGCATGATAATTCACAGAGCCGGACCGCCAACTAGGTACATTCGCAGGCGTTTCGTCGGCATCGTCAGTGAGCCCTTTGCCAGTCTTAGGACCACACTACAACTCATCAAAGCGACAAATGAATTCGACCCTTTGACAAATTATCTGCGGTATTTCTCCTTCTGTCCTGGGCTATCCACCTATCCCATATCCTCGTATCACGCCTTCAATATCACCATTACTTACTTGCTTATCAAAACTTTTTTGAAGCTTATTCATACTCCCCGCTGATTTCCAAATCCCTCTCACTGTGCTGGGAGTGCCGATCCAAGACAAGGGTTTAATCCGCAATCCCCTCCCTTCTGATCCTATCAGAATTCTCCTCTTGCTCCGTAGGATTCTAACCTTATCTACCTGTTTCGGCGATTTCGAATCATCGCCGCCACCGTATCTGTACTACTCACGGGGATTTATATTCTAAACTCTGTCTTAAGCCTTTGATAGCATGTATGCACCAGCCTCACTGAGCAAGCCCATATAGTCTGGATTTTCAATTGGTATGGCAACTTAAGTTGACGTCACATGTGCTCTTATCATGTCTATAAACAAACTTATCTACTAATACCTAATTATCAATGGTCACCACCGGTTCTCTCATTCTTCTATCCCTAATGCAAGGTCTATGACTTTCTTATGCCCAAGTCTCTGGCTTGCCAGATGTTCACTGTAGGCGTTTACGCTCGATTTCCGATTTTGCTTCTCTAGTCTCCTTGTGATTACTTTTTTTATCACTAAAAAGTTTACCTTTGTCGAGTCATCTTCTTTTTGCTGATATTGCTGTTCCCTGATCTTATCCGAGTTTGCTTAAGAATATGCACAGATTTTGCTAATCCTGGTTTCCTCAAGTCTTCTGTTCATCAGGTTTCTTTCAGTCAGAATATCGATGGCTTCTCATATCTTGAGTTTTCTTTTATTTTTATATTCGTAAATGAGTAGGGTTTCGAGACTACCAGTAAATCAGTGTAATGAGATGTATTCACTCTATTTC